CTGCCGCTGCCTCCTCGAAGCGGCTCCTCAGCTCATCGGTCCAAGCACGTGCTCGTTAAACAGTAGAGCGATTTCTAATTTTTTCTTTTCGGAGGAATTAGTAACATCCCCTACTGTTTAATGTAAGAAATCCCATTCTGGCAATTCAAAACAACATAATCTCAACAATTGAAGGGATGGATTGCTGGCACTGTCTTCTAAACAGCGTAAGCCATCATTTGAAAGATGACTGATTGTCAGACTGTTTTAACTGTATCTTGGTTTCGGTTGCCAAGCGTAGTGACGGTGTACTAACAATTGGCTTTGTCTGGATGCGGGAGTTGTTTAGTTCCAGCTGGCACTCGCCAGCCACGCAGGCTTTCCAGGGACGTGAATGTGCGTATGTCTTGTGAGGCTAAGATGGACCTAATTAGTACGTGTCACTGTGGTGGTTACTTCGAGTTAACCCTTGGTTCATCAAGTCTTCAAAGGAATGACAGATGGGACATGCAAAGAGACTTGGTTTTGCTGATAAATCATTTTCATTGGCAAATTCATGTCCTAATTCTAAAGATAAATTACCTTTTTTCCCCTTTGGGGAATTTGGCAAGTGTTGTATGGTGACCCTGACGATGCCCTTCTTGGCTTGTAGGCATGGATCCAAAATGGTGGGTTCTGGCAGGGACAGGACCCCAGGGGTCTCTGCAGTCTCTGGGGTAATGCCCTCCTGCCAGGACCACAGCGCAAGTGCTGACCTTAATTCAGCCGATAGGAAAACATGTCACTAAGTTCCCCTGAGTGCGGCACGTGAACCAGGGTTAAAGGCTGTACCCTGGTGGGGTACTCCTCTCCCCAGCGACGGCTGTTCATTAGGAGCAGCATAATAGCCCTGCAATCAGTCATTCTTTGTGCTGGAGCTTGCTTTAGGTAAAATGGTCATGCCTCTCTTCAACCTTGATCTCGGCTGACGCTGGCTGTAGTTTTTTCCCCAGGTAATGGTAAAGCCAGCAATTGGGTTGCTCGGTAGGTTGGTATTTCTTTGACTGGCTTCCTTTCCCCAAGGAAGTGTGGGTGCTTTCCGCTGCTGGCTCGGTAGCGGAGTTCTCCGAATCAGACATCTTTTATCTCTTGTCATTGTTTTAGGCAGCAAGTGAAGCGAAGAGATGAGTTTGTTACCAGCTTTGGGAATCTTCAATCTGGACTCTGCCACGCTGTTACCTTGCAAGCAGAAAGGTGTCACGTGAATCCCGGCGCTACAGAAGTAATTACTTCTTACCGTACTTAAGAATGCTGAGGAAAGCCTCCTGAAATAGGTCTAGATTTCTGAAGCTGTTTTATGGCTTGTAAATTATCTTACAGATGGAACAAGGAGGAATATAGCAGCTTGCATGTAGGGTTGAGGTTGAAATTCTAACAAAAGGTGTTATGACAGCTATAAAACCTCTTAAGACTTGCTCCCCAGAACAAAGCAGGTGCAATCCAAGAATCCTGGAGGAATCAGAGGGGAGAGGTTTGTAATAGATTGGAGCATCTAGTTCTTAACTGGGGAGAGAAACAAGACTTCTGCTTTGAAGAATCAACCGATGCTAGTTGGAAGCGAGAGATGAAAGTGAAGAACGGTGTGCTCGAATCACCATCTGCTGGCACTTAACTGTATCAGTCTGTTGGGATATATTCCAAAGGGAAAGGCGACTGTGGCAGTGAGCTTTACCTCTAGGAAGATACCTTGGCATCTGGGGCTTGAATGTAACAACAGGGCGGGGCCTGCGTTTTTGTGCCCAAAGAGAGCTTTTTTCCTCTTGTTCCTGGCTATGCTGAAGGCATTCTGTGCTTAACAGTTGAGACCAAGGTTCTGCTTTGATTTATAGAAGCGCATCTCTTGAGACAAACTTAACAAATCCCCTTGTGTTTGATACCTGGAAAAAAAAATTACACCAATCTTCTCACAGGCAGGAAACTGCTTGCTGGCATAATGATGATGACTCTTTGCCGTTTACCCAACTGAATTTTGTGATGAGCAGTGTTGTATCTGATGTGCCAGCTAATCAGTAGGTTTTTTCCAGTTTGATTTACTACCGTCATTTCTGATTTCATTTATTCTTTTAAAGGCGCTACGACATCGGATGACTTTCTCCTCTGTCTTTGAGCCTTGTGTATGCGCATACAGCCAACAGTAGACTCCATCCACTTCTAGAAGCATGGGTGTTTAAGAAGGTAAGTTGCTTTTTTACCGTGCTACTAGAGTACTCGGGCTCCAATAAGCTATGCTGCTAGATGGCGAAGGCCTGTACTGGCCACGTTTGCTGCTGTCTGGAGCTGTGCTGGCTTACATCAGCTGAAGGCATGGCCTGTTGGGCAAGGGTACTTTTGGACTACTGACTGACTATGCTGTCCTTTACTTGTGGTACTGCTACTAGTCTTCTAATTTTTGCTTAAAGCATCATGGGAGAAGCTGGGGAGAGGTACGGATAAAAAGTTGTGCTCTTTTTGCAGAATTTTTTTTCCTAAGGCTATACATTCCTTAATATGGCTTGTCAAAAATAGTGATTTATAAAGGAATTCTATTTAAGTCTATTCTAGAAGTAATTTTGCTGGCACAGTGATGAAATCTTTGCCGTTTACCCATCTGACTGGTTTTTGATGTGTATCTTTGAATCTGAAATGCCAGTAAAGTTAATAACTTTGTATAAGATTGATTAAGCATACAGAAAACTGACTAACTTATTTTGAAACTTTTTTTTTTAAGCTTGAAAACAGCAGCCTGAAATGTGGAGTTCTAATGCACTTGGAAATGCTTTCATGGCCTTTCCTGCTCCTCAGAAATACTGCTTGATTCAATAGTAAGGCAGAGGAGTAGCTGTTTTGTGAAAACGCGTGAATAATCCTCGAAGTTCAGGTGAGAGTGTCACTCTAGAAAGGGAAGTGGCTCTGTGGATGCTCTTAGAACTTAGTTTGAATATTTAAGTGTACCAAATAAATGGGACAAAACTGAATAAATCAAGGGTTAAAACATGTAGGAAAACTTGTGTTATCGTGTCTAAATGGGAGTGTTTACAATGTTAGCGGTGGCAGCTTTTCTGCTTACCTCCAAGGCAATGCGTGTATGAATAAAGTCCTGGATTTCTGTTTTCAGTGACTGTAGTTTTTTGTTGAGGCTATGTGAGCAATAGCACCATGATCCTGCTGGATGACATCCTGGGTAGGAGTCCCACCATGCCTTCAGTATTCAGCTTGTCCAGATTTGACAGGAAGCCTGTACAATTTTTCTGCTGCTTTTTTTTTTTTAACATGGGCCTCTTGGATGTAGAACTTGCTCAGTATCATGTCTACTGCTGTATCCTTACTAGGAAGATGAAATACAGGGAAGTCCACAGTTGGAGAAGCATACTGGAGCTCAGACCCCTCATCTTCTACCATACCACTCTTTACACTTGTTTTTGCAATGAGGTAGAGTTGAACTCAGTGAGCTGCCTACCTACCAGGTCGTCTAGTAACATTTTTTTCACCTTCTGTAGGGTTCTACTATCCCCTGCAGTCTATATAAAGTAACGTGGAAATACTGGGTTTTTTTCAGATTGCAGGAGCATACTAGCATCCTGGTCTAATATTATGTTGCTGTGATGTAAAACTAAGACACAGAACAGTATGGTGATACTTTTATACCTTTTAGAACATGAGAAATAATTTAAGAAAGTTGACTTAGACTAGAAAAAGAGTTTTTAATGTACTTAAAACTATTTACCCCTCAGTGGGTGATATATTTGAAAAGAAGCAACAAGAGAAACTGCAAAGAGTTCATGTAGTTGAAATGAAACATTAGATTCTCAAGTCCTGGTTTGTTAGTTGTAGTCTTAGCAAAAACCCTGCTTTACTCCTGTCACTTAACTGTGGGTGAACAGTGGTAGCCAGGAAGAGAAGTTCAGGTTGTGGCTTTATTCTGGAGCCATGGCCTCCCAGGATGAAGGCATCATTCCTGCCTTCAAACAATACTGTCACAAAACTTGCAATTGAATCTTCTCAGCTACGCTTTATTCCTTAGCAAAACAGCACTGAACTGTCTTACAAAAATATTAAAAACTTATCAGTTGTATGTTTCTAACTGCAGTCTCTCAAAAAGCTAAAGTAGAAGCTTCAGGCTTTACTCACAGCATGGAGTTTTCACTCTTCGTTAGCATTAGTGTGAATTCCTGGGCCATATGCACCAATAAACTTCAGCAGTTGATGGTGACACTGCATTAGGTAACTATCTCTTTGTTGCAGGGAGTTTTCATCACTGAGGTCAAATGGAAATACAGGATTTGGTGCTATGCATAACGCAGACTTGCCTAAGCAAAGAAGAAAACAAGACTTACGCTAAAAGACTTGATAAACTCTTGCCAGGACTTTGAAGGTAAAAAAGCTGTGACAGATTACTTAGTAATGCAATCTTGCAGGTTACCATTTTTAAGCATTACATCATAATTCTTGGCTCACTGCCAAATTTGTGTGTGAACAAATGTTACTGTGCTGCTAGATAAATGAAAAACCCCCTCAACTCGTCTTCTCTTTCCCCTGGGAGGGAAATCTGTCTTTAGTTTAACCTGGACCAATGTTAGAGGAGCGATGCCTCATATAAGGCAGCATAAAGGATTGGAGGCTTGGTGCTGGCCTGTGGCCTAATTACGTACAGCATTGAGACTCTTAGCAGGAAAGTCAGCTGAAAGACTTTTCTTGTATCAGTCTTCAACAGTGGAAATTCTGGACTTTGATTTGAAATGAACTATTATTGCAATAAATTGATACAAACTTTTTTCAACCTGCCAAAATTGAAAACAATGTACCCAAGACTGAAGACTGAGTTACATTATTTACCGTGTTTTAGGGTAAGAGATGATTCAAGTAACAAGATGGCAATCAACGCATCTTCCTCAAGTACTTTCTTTCTTAAACTTAATTTAGTATGTGCCTTAGACAGTGAAATCCTAAGAGATGAATATAAGCATGTCAGAAATAACAAATACTGCAGACATGAATGCAATACGTATTGCCCTGTTTCAAGCATTCTGTGAATCAAAAGTTAACACTGGGGTGTTGTTTTTTCCATACTTCAGCTGTGTAAACTTCCCACAAATACTGTGCAGTTATACTTGTCACGGGCAAAGTACATATTATTATGCATGACTTTCTCGTGCTATGAAAGCAGTGGAACTTGGCATATTATCTACTGTTAATACTTCTTTTGCTTGCATAATACAAAACCGTGATAATTTAAATCCCATTTTTTGTTGTTCTAGATAGCTTTAATAGCGATAATTGTTTCTTAAATCACTGTTCTTTTGCCTGGCAAAAGTTCTTTAAACTTTTTTTTTTCAACATCAATATATAAAATAAATGGTAAATAAGATTCTTCACGCTTGAACTTTTCAAAACTGAAGAGTCTTGTCTAGCTTTTCATTTAACAAGCTCTTGAGCAGGTTAGCACAATTTCTATTTGAAATGTAGATGTGTTTCCTTTACTATGAAAAGTAGGACATACAGAATTTTTAGTGCAGATGCTGATAATGTTGATCCATGAATAGAATCTCTTCTTACTCTGCGACTTGCAAGATAGTAGCCCTGAATGAGGTTTTCTGCTTCTGAACTCAGTTCAACATGAAGATTCTTAGCAAACAAAATAAACTAGAGAGAGGGTATACATTTTAAATATTTAACTGGAAAATAAAGAATTTACATTTTTCACACCTTTTAACATACCAGTGGCATAGTAATATAGTTTGGACAATATATTATACCAATATTTTTATAAAGACAGCTGTCACCATTCAGCTATGCATAAGGATAGATCTCGGATACTAAACAGAATCATCTGTTAGTTATACTAGAGATATTGACAGTTTATTTAGAATGGATTATTAACTTTTACTACTGATTGTAAACTATTCTGGTCAAAAGTAGGTATTGGAGAGCTGTTCTCATATGGATATTAACCTAGTATGTTTTTCAGATGCAAGATCAAACTGAATTTATTGTGCTGGCCCTTTTAAAGAACTGAAGCTAATTTTATCAATGATCCCATTAGTGCTAGTGGGAATATGGTGGCGGGAAGGGTAGGAAGTGAGTATTAACGGGTTTAAAAATAAGCAATCGGACTGTGCAGAGAGAACCTTCCGATTCCAGAGATAGTATGATGTTCCCAAGTATAACACATTTCTAAATTATTGGGTAGTGTCCGTTACCTCCTCATAATCCTGCATTCTGAACTGCTGTGAGACTTTGTACAGCATGGCTTCAGGATTAATGGCTTTTTTCAAGATGTGATGTACAAGAGAAGACGGTTGACACGAAGGAAACTCCCTGTATATCAAAAGCCCAAAAACATCTAGAAGGTTAGGTGGAATCAAACTCACGTCCTAAAGAGAAGACCCAGAGAAAGAAAACAATTACATTAGTTTGGCCTTTTGACTTGTAGAAACATTGCAGTTTTTTCAATCTGAAATGTTCAATATCCATATATACTGAGTCCTGCAAGATTATCTAGCGAATTACCTATAATACATACAGTAAAATTTTGTTTCAATAGTAATTGTCAAAAGCTATTCTGAATAAAACAAATGATACCTAATTTTGGGAAAGCTAGCTCATTTTAGAAGATACTTGAAGTCACTTAAGTTGTGACTTTTTGGGAAATACTAACAGATTTGATTGTTTTCATTTTTTTATAAGTTGAAGTAACCATAAACACAAATGACTGCTATAGTACAGTTACAGTCATAACAAGGCACATGCTTTACCATCTGTCCGATTAAAAAGTTGTCCTTTTGTATATGTTTCTTTGAGGAAGAATCTACATCTACAAAAGACCAAAAATTGGTCTGAACTGAAATAGTAACTTGTTGGTCGGCCTCTTCTCCATACTTCTTCCCAGGAATGAATACTGTTGTCGTTCTGCTCTCTAGCACTAGGACAGGACAAAATATGTCAGTTATGTAATCGATCTAGTTTAACTATAAATTCTAGTCCCACACACACTATCTGAAACCAGTCATGATTATGTATTTCACTGAATTGTCACGATCAATGGATCTCTCTAGTGTAGCCTCTGTAGCAAATGTAAGCTTACAAGACCTTGGCTTTTTTTTGTCCTTGTTTCTTACACAGACTGGTTAAAAATAGCTTATAGATCTTCCCAGCATTTGAGGGCCGTAAGCTGGGGAACAAACCTAGCCATGAATTTGCATGTTTGTTTTGTTTTGTCCCCTCATTTGTTAGTAGGTGTGAGATTACCGGACTGTAGAAGTTCAAGTTTATCCTTTTTATATGAAGATAAGTCTCCTATGTAACAGATACCACCCTTAGCCAGCACAGCACTGCAAGCGTGAATACTAGCACTTCCAGTTCCATGTTTATCTTTGGACACAGAAGGAAAAATTTCACTAGAAGGTGGGTGTCGTATGCCACGAGGCAGAAGACATATGCTGTAATTCAGAAGCCTAGAGGATTAAATAATTCTGTCAGTCATAAATCATGAAATTATTGTTGTTTTCCAAAACTTAAACAACATAATACTATACTTAATATATATAAATACCATTACAAAAGACTCACTTAGAAACAACAACCAAAAAAACCCCTTAAACATAAAACCAGTGTCAAAACTAAATGTTTAAAGTCACTTTGAATATAAAGGTAGAAGTCCAAGCTTTCTCGCCAACAGGACTGTGTTTCTTACAGATTTAACATACAAGGCAAATCACGGTTTGCAATAGAAGTAATTCCTAGGAAGCCAAAGAAGTCTCATAATTTAACCCCATGTTGTTAACTCCTATTCCTATTGTAGAGAAACTTTTCCAGTGATTTAAAAGGGTAGAGGATTAGCAATCCTGGCCATCTGGGAAAAATGAAAAAGCTGGGAAGTTGCAAGCTCTGCCTGGGTTATCCCTTCCTCCCTCCCCAATTCTTTTTGAGAAAGCAGGTATAGAATTTCTTTTTCATCCCCTATGCTATGTTCCTTGGCACAAAGAGGTTGCAGATTGTCTGTCTGGTTCCACAATCAAAGGCTCCTAATGATTTTAAGATGACAGAGCATGATTTATCCTGCTATTAATAACTGGGAGAACATTATTAATTAAAAGCAGTAAGTATTAATAAATAGGCTATCATACCAATATAAATGTGAAGTAGGAAATACCTATTTTGCCAGGCTACCGACAATAAAATACTATGTGCACATGCAAGACAGTACAAATGATAGTACTGACCAAGATGTACAGTGTGCAACTGTTTAATATTAACCAGACATTTTGATTCTCAAAACACTCTTCAGTTCCTATCATTTCTCTTATGAAATCTTACTCTCAACCTGGGGAAAGAAATCCTGCAGCCCACATTTTTTTCAAATTTGAACTTATTTCTACAGCTAAATTTTGAAATGGTTAAGAAAGTATTTTTTTCCACAACAAAAAAATACTAATGAATTTGCTGAAGAACTCTCAAATGAAAATAAAATTCATGCCACTTTCAAAGACCTGGCCATCAAAAATGAAAAAGCTGGGAAGTTGCAAGCTCTGCCTGGGTTATCCCTTCCTCCCTCCCCAATTCTTTTTGAGAAAGCAGGTATAGAATTTCTTTTTCATCCCCTGTGCTATGTTCCTTGGCACAAAGAGGTTGCAGATTGTCTGTCTGGTTCCACAATCAAAGGCTCCTAATGATTTTAAGATGACAGAGCATGATTTATCCTGCTATTAATAACTGGGAGAACATTATTAATTAAAAGCAGTAAGTATTAATAAATAGGCTATCATACCAATATAAATATGAAGTAGGAAATACCTATTTTGCCAGGCTACCGACAATAAAATACTATGTGCACATGCAAGACAGTACAAATGATAGTACTGACCAAGATGTACAGTGTGCAACTGTTTAATATTAACCAGACATTTTGATTCTCAAAACACTCTTCAGTTCCTATCATTTCTCTTATGAAATCTTACTCTCAACCTGGGGAAAGAAATCCTGCAGCCCACATTTTTTTCAAATTTGAACTTATTTCTACAGCTAAATTTTGAAATGGTTAAGAAAGTATTTTTTTCCACAACAAAAAAATACTAATGAATTTGCTGAAGAACTCTCAAATGAAAATAAAATTCATGCCACTTTCAAAAATTTTTTTAAAAAAATAAAAATGAAGCCCTGTTTTGAGTTGGGGAAGGAGAAAGTAATTTTGTTTAAATTAACGTAAATTTAACGGTGAGCATATTATACTTTTCTGCAGTGTTTGTGAAATTGTGTTAACAGTTCGTAGTTGTGTGAAGGGGTAAATACATGAAATGCATAAATACAGAAAAACATTTTGTTTAAGGTAACAACAGCCAGATTTATGACCTATGTGTAAAGATGTACATGACTTTT